AAATCTGATCCTTTATAAAAAAAAAATCATGCCAAAGATATGCTGGATATACCGGGAAATAATCCCGTTCTGGAATATTTGTTTGATGAGGAAAATCATATAAAATTCCATGGCAACATTGATCACGACGACTCTTAAACTTGAAACGTTGTAAACTAAAGTGCATGTAATCAGGCGCAACGATCCTCGTTTAAAACAGTTCAGATAAAACGGTGTCCAGGCCAGGCTAGAGTTTACTTCTTTGGAATTGTATCGCCCACATGTATCTGATGTATATTATATCTTTTGTTTGTACTTGATGTGTTAATATATTTTTGTGAAGAGTAATGTTTTTTTTCAGTATTAAGTATTTGTGCTGTATTACTGCACTGTTAGGTACCACTTAATTAGCTTACGAACATTAAATGTATTAGATCATAAATTAGTATCCATCCCATAAAGGATTTTTAATTAAACGAGAGCCTGGCTCAAATCATCTTCGCTAGCCAAGGGTTCGCTTCGTATACACTCCATGCACTTACGAAGCGAACCCTTGGCTAGCGAAGATGGGCTCAAATGTTAAGATGCTTTTTAACACTTGTTCAAGAATTTATGCGAGTATTGCAAAAAAACACCCAAGTTTTCTATTTCATTGTTGAAGTTAAAATTCACCGTCTTGTCTTAATATTGTTTTCATCATTATGTCATATTATCTGACGGTATTTTATTTTCATTTGATGACGTACCAATTGATTACATTTCATGACATCAAATGCAAAAAAAAATTATTGTAATCAATGTGATAGCATGGTATCTTGCTTATCTTGGTTTGTTTCATATAACATATTACTCCAAAAGAAACGAAGAGGATTCCTAAACATTGTCGATTTGTTAAATACAATGTGTCAGAAATTAAGTCTCATTTTGAATTGCCATTCCTAGATGCCCATATATTTTACAGTTAGAAACCACATTAAACTAGCAATGATATTGAGTAAGAATTCATACTGAGTTAGCATTATTAATGATTCAGTAAGCAATTTTAGCATATGTATTAAGTTAGTATTTATACTGCGTTAGCATTCATACTGAGATAGTATTTATATTAAATTAGTTTTTATATTTAGTAGGCATTCATATTATGTAAACATTAATGTTTAATTTTTTATTTATATTGAGTTAGAATTTATATCGGGTACGTTATTATATTAAGTTCGCATTTATATTTTGTTAGCATTTGCATTTAGTATTATTATAAATCAATGCAAAGACCAGTATGACTAAAAAGGACAACTTCTACAATATGAAGCAGCATGCGCCACGAATTTAACACTTACTTATATAATGTAAGACGAATACAGACACTTGATAGAATATTTTGAACAGTATATACATTATTTAAAGGCGATTCTAGACGCTCATGTACATTGTATGTATATTTATATATATGTTTATGTCATACAATTTTGAAAATATAATAAAAAAAAAAGAGAAACAAAAGCTGTGGTGAAGACAAAACCCTAAATGAGCTATTTTTAGATTGTAAAAATGAACTTTTACCATGTATAACTAAAATATTCAATAATGTCTTCAAATCCGGGTATTTTCCAGAAGCCTGGTCAAAAGCATGTGTTGTTCCAATACATAAAAAGGGAGATATTGATCACCCTAACAACTACAGAGGCATCTCAATATTAAGCTGTTTGGGTAAATTATTTACTGGAGTGTTAAATCAGAGACTTCTGAAATGGGATAATGAACATAATATAATTACCGATGCTCAATTTGGATTCAAACCTGGTTTTTCGACGGTAGATGCCATTTTCGCATTGCAAACCTTAATTAATAAAACATTAAAAGCGAAAAAAATAAAATAATTATTTACTAGATGTATAAAGTGTTTACCGTACCTTACGAGTGCTATCTGCTGACGATTCCCGTATCACTTCTAATGACTATAGCTATGCATTGGACGTTATAATGACGTGACTAAAACTTAGAGAAATCATTTCTTAAACGAAAACCATACATCATAGATTGTTATGAACAAATTATGGCGATAAGATAAACAAACACACATACATACAAACAAGGAAACTCAATAAATAAATATAAACGAATAATAAATAGCGTAATTCACAGTGTACAAATGAAAGGGGGCCAGGGTTGGACCCCTGGACCTCTGGTCCTTATACTGTTGGTCTAACCCACTACCTGTTCAACCCAGTACATGTACATGTGTACCTGGCACACGTACTCTATTTAGAGGGAGATAACTGTATGTACTAGACTCAACATTTGATTTATTTTGGTTGCAATGAGTGATAGAAATCCTTAATAAATTGAACAAGAATTATCTGAATGATAAGTCAATGCTTAATTAAACTATTACAGCTGTACGACAGCTCTGAACAACCGGCTCAAATAAAAAGGCAAAACAATTTATATCAATCTGGCACTCATCTTCAAAATTTAATTTTACCAGATGTAAACATGGACAATTCACAGCCTTTTTTTTTTTGCCACCGGAACAATATCTTTTAACTTTTAATTCTTTCCTGTAAGTACAATGTTGTCGAAAAGCACAAGGAATCCCTCTTTTGAACCAATTATGCTATATACAATTATCAAACTGTTCTTACCCTATTTTTTCGCTTTTGCATTATAATGATTTTATATAGTAGATTATAACAACATATTTTGTTATTATAATATTTAGCAAAGGTAACTCGTTGTGTTCTTTATTGTGAAATCAATGTCATCTGCAATTATAATTAGGTACAATAAAGTTATAAAAGTTTCTGGTATACGCTTGTATAACAGTTGTATATTTCATCATATTGAAAATTAAAATTGCTTTCTGCTTACGTTCATGCCTAGTTTTTATATGACTTTTGTTGAAGCAAGATATCGACCATTAAACAATGAAATTCATAAAGATCCCCGTACCATTGTCAAAAATTATTGTTAATTTGATAATTATGTTTTTACTAGCATAACAGAGGCTTTAATGAATAAATTAACTTTCATGAACTTAAGTCAGAAATAATGTTTAAGATGAAATGGTAATAAAAAAAATGAAACAGGACCCGACCAGGATTCGAACCCAGGACATTTAATCGTTATACAGTAGTTAACAAAAGATCTTCCTCACCAGTGGTAGTTCCCTGGTCAAGTTCAACTACTACAGTTACATCCAAAATAAAAGGAAGAGGAGGTAACTGTTTGTGTGAAAAAACTACAACGGAACTCTTTAGTGTTTTCCTACAGTGATCCTCAAGTGCTATTCTAGTCCACTCCTGTATGTACATAGTGTTAAGTATGGATTAGTCCGGTCCATTCAATAGTTTCCGTCCGCGTTGTGATATTTGCTAATGTTTACAAACTAACGGATTAGTTCAGCCTACAAAAATGTTTGTGTACTCCGAAATGTAATGACAAAGTAAACGTATTGTTCAAACATGTTGACCTAAATCAGTACGTACATAATGTATTCACGAATAAAGCGTCAACATGACCGTTCCGGCCATCATAGCCATGTTAAAAACGTATATAGTATAACACTTTCAGTTTAAACAACTTTTTTTTACAGTGCTTAAATCCGTTCATATTGAACCTAGAATAGAATAATTATTTCTCACAGAAACCCAGGACCATGTTTACTCTTGACGTCTTTGATCACGCCTGGAGACCAGAAGTAATGATACGACCACAAATAGCGGCTGTATACTGTCCACTCGTGTGACATTCGATACACTTGTTCATGATAATGTATGCATTCTATAAAACACGCAATCGCCATCAAATCTAACTAAATACAGCGATTACAGGCTTTTAAACAATTGTTCTATAACTGTGCGCTTTTCAAAGGAAAGAATCGTGTGTACTTATAAAATAAATTGGACTTATTATATCAAGTCTCACTTCCTCTTCAAGACCGATTATTTTTAAAGGTAAACACACTTATAAAGTTTATGACAACGAAAGGCACACGAAAGCCAGACACAAGTCCTTGTTTGTGTGTAACAAATTAAGCTTTCACATCCACAAATAACACATTTTAAACATATTTATTGTTCTTATTAAAGAATAAAATAAGAAAAAAACACGTATTTGAAAAAGTTATAAAAACTGTCTTGCGTAGATAAGATCAGACAACATCACATTCAAGGTGAAAAGAGGGAATTTTTTAAGTTTAGAAAGATATGGTTAAGCTGACAATGCGTTTGAAAGCTTCGTCCAAAGCTCTTACACGTTTCCCCAGTAGTCGAGACGACTTAACGGAAAGAGTGTGGTATTCCCGGATGTTTTCGAAAGTATACAGTATACAATGGTATTACAGCTTGACAGATCAGTTAGATGTCTACTGATCAAGTCAGTTGGAAGGATGTGTAAAACATGATTGAACTTTGAATCTGAACCTCGAAATATCGACAATTGTAAGGTTGTATGTGTTCCGCCACTGTGTAACGGGATCACAGAATAAATCCAGGGCCGTGACCAACCATGGACTTTACGAAAGGTAATTTATCATGAATCTATATAACTTATAAATTTCTGTATTATTGAAACTGGACAAAGCCGATACATGTTGCATTATGATGCCTTTATGTGTTAGGTTCTGTCGGATAACGTTGCTTTGAATACGCGAATCAAGGGTATAATAGCGTACAAAGTAGACTTATATTATATGTTAAGCTAGCGATGATTAGTTTAGCCGAACGGTCTTTGGGCCAGATAGAGCTTGTCGTCAATGTATAATATGTATGCCTTGTGACCTAATGGTGATTTTCTTTTTACTTTTCGTACGATCAAAAATGCAAACTGTAGATGTTTAAAAGGTGTTTTTATTCATTTGACAAATGCCGTAAAATGCAGGTGAAAGTTCCTACCATCTTAAAATTACGTATGTATAGTTGTCCGCCTATCACAGCCAAAATCACCAGAACGAGTTCAGGCGTTTTTTATACGACTTGTAAACAGATGCTATACTACAGAAATGTCTAATCACTATTCTGAAGGCTACAGGGAAGCGTTCAGCCTCTTTGACCGGGACAATGACGGTATCATTTCCACTAAAGAACTTGGGACTCTTATGAGGACGCTCGGACACAACCCCACTGACCAGGAGCTAGATGATATGGTGAATGAAGTGGACACGTCAGGTAGGGAAGTGATATAATGAATGTTATCTGTTAAATTGTGTTTTAAAATTAAGTTTTTAAATGATTATTTCCTAATGGCATAAACCACAGTGGGTTACCAACACACTTATAATGAAGAAGACTTGTTATGATATTTTAAAAGAAAATAATCCATCCTGCAGTTAGATATGAAATACGTGAAGTGTCATCATATTTATCAAAATATATATTTTAACGATTTTATATGTATCTGTATTTAAACGATTGCGATGATTGTTTTCTGTATGTAGTAAATGTTTGTTCAATTTTGTTAGAGTTTACCACTATATTACTGCAGCTTAAAAAGTTTTATTCTTAATTAATGCTCAAGTTTCAAATAAAAGGAAACCGATGGAGTTAAGATAAAATATTATTTAAATATCTTCTCACATAGGCGTAGTGGTCGCCAAAAGTATACACAAATCAGCGTGAATGTCCTTTTGAAATAATGTGCATTTGAATACAGCGTTATCATTAACTAGGTTTCATGCTTAAGACTGATTCACTTTTTATATATAATACCATCAACATATTTAAATTTTGTCTTAATAGTCGTGATATAAGTAAAGACAGCATTGACTCCTATTGCTTTTTCACCTGAATTGTTATTCTACTTTAAGTTTCTAGCTGGTGATTTATGCTTACACCTATATACTGATAGAGAGGTACCATAAACACGTTATTGCCAAGTGATATTTGAGATCCAATATTTATTGACTCGTAAATATTGTCCAAGGACAGAGCTTGCCGATACACGTTTCGGCATAATGATGTACGACTTTGAACTACTTGACGATTAAGTAGCCAATAAATCCGGCAATGCTGTGAGCCGAGAAAGTACTGGATAGGACAGATGCATATGTTGATATCATAACAAGTGTGAAGGTAGATTTGGTTTTTATTTTATGACGGATCTACTTTATACTTTAATCTGCGAAAAATATAGTGACCTGGTAATAAGTCTTTACTACATGAAAAGACTTAATGCGACTGATTGTACATATATATATATATATATATAATAAAAAGTGATTAAATGTCCATGTCAAGGAAGTAAATATAGAAAAAATAAAATTAACGACCGACTAAAAAACTAGCTGCTTTCACCCTTCACAGGGCTCTTAGCCCTGTGAAGGGCGAAAGCAGCTAGTTTTTTAGTCGGTCGGTATTTTTTTTTTTTCTATATATATATATATGTGTGTGCAAGTTCTTTATTAATCATTATCATAATTACCAGAAGGAATTGTCATTCATATCGCCATGAACACTAAGAAATGCCGTTCAGTTCTTATAAACAGAGTATCGTATAATCTTGTTGCAATCCCTACCGCTTTTTAAAAAGTGTGCCCTCTATGACCGAAATCATCACTCATTATTTTATTCACGACTTTTATCATTCTTAAGTCGTATTCTTATACCCTATGGAGAGACCTTCCAGAATACTGAAAGTTACGAATTTCATCCTTACCTCATGCTACTTATAAATGCAATCTCGCTGTATCACGCATCAAAATGTCTTGAGTTTCCTTAGAGATACATGTTGTCTTTCTTCTTGTGTTAGTGTGTCCTTCATTCCTTTAGGTTTTTGTCGGAGTAAAATTGTCTTTCATTTACTTGTTTTGCCCTCAGTCCTCATTTCGTGTAGTTTTAAAGGGGGTTTACGTCGGCTTCCCTTTTGGTGTGGTGTGTCTACGTACAGTTCCTGTAGGTTTTGTAGTGGCCCACAATCTTGTTTTGTTTTTCGGTGGAAAGAGGTAATAACCGAAACGACGAAGAGCTACATACTTACATGTTGGAGTACATATAACTACTTCACCACGAGTTTTAATATTTACACAAGATGGAATGTATGAACATTGTCCGTCGAAAAGAACTGCATTTGGAATTGAAATGACGTCATCAAGTAGATTTCTAAAGGTAGCTACTCCGCGTCAATATCACAGATCACTAAACTCCACGTGATTATGGTCCAACCAATGAGATTTCAGGAACATGTTTGTCATCTATAATTGTGGTATGTTTCGTCTAAGTGTCTTCTCAATTAAGTATATTTAGTGTTGGTGAGTTGAAGTTACGGTATATCTAGCATTATGTTGTTGTGTTGACGCGTAGTGTCACATCGTTCTCGTCCGCTTACGCGGTTGACGTTAATTGTTTATATACAATTTTACATTTTACTCTATAAAGGTCAAGGAAAGATAAACTACACAGACTTTCTTAAGATGATGAAACCAGCGGAAGCCTGGAACGAAGAAGCCGAGTTAAAATGTGCATTTGAAGTGTTCGACAAAGATGGCGACGGATACATAAGCGCGTCATCATTACGTCACGTGATGAAAAAACTAGGAGAACAACTAACCGACGAGGACGTCAAATTTCTTATGAAGGAAGCTGACGTCAACGGCGATGGCCGTGTGGATTTTAAAGGTGTGTAACATAGTATGTCTTATATAATGTCAATCACACCAACAGATTTGTCAGGTTGTATAGGTCGGTTTAAATGTAGTACAAGTGTGCACCACATGTGTTTATTCTTCAATGCTTATTACAATTTTCATCAACCTTCTAATACATAATTTCTAGGCCTGAACCATGGTTAATATCTGTAAAACAATAAACCAACAAACATTGTGCGTTTAATGATCAGATTAAAGCACCAAATTTGATCCATAAATTACAGCTATTCGTTCAAACTAAGACGAGATTTTATCAGGAAAATGAATTATTTTTAACATTTTGTTATAACCGGGTAAAACCGTTTCCACTATGCAGCACACCAAAACGAATACAAATATTTTCTAAAAACTTATACCGTTCCGACAATCTGACAAATAGAGTCACAGATAATAAAAACACGGTTACAATGTGTTAGCTTTATTACAACAACATTTGTTGTGGCCCAAATCATAACGGGGCCCACACTTCAAAAAACGACATACCATTAGTTTGCACCTGGCATTTCCTCTGTGGCGTTTGTCTATTTCTTCATATGAATTTCTTCTTTGATTTTGATGTCTCTTCCGTTTCTGTATCTTAGAATCTATTTTAGATTCCGATATTGTCATTTTGTGTTTGTTATTTTTCTTTTCTATTTTACTTAACGTTTAACTTATAATGTGTATCATATCATCAATTTTCAGAATTCGTACGGATTGTAACCATGCAATAGAAACGGAATACATTGTTCCGGTCTTTGAGTCCCTCGTTGTGTACAAGTGATTGGCAGGACATAGATGTATTAGCTGCAGTTCCACAGTTTGATGTAAATTTTCAAACAGGAATGGACGTGTTTAAACTTAAGTAAGAGGCAAGTTTGGATAACATCAACTTTAGTTGGATAACAAGAACTAATGTTTTTAATCGACTTCAGTGCCTACGGTCTGTTTCGCAAACTGTGATAAGTTGTCTTTGCCTTGATAATGACATGTTACCGGTTATATGCAATTAATGTAGAAAAAATATGCATGATTTTTATTTACCTTTTAGCAGATTGCTTTGTAACATATTTTTACCAACAAATGTCTCTAAGGACACCCGAAATGTCTGACACAATGCGTTTTATTTACTCTGTATTGATTTTGAACAGTGATCATAAGTCACGTCAGAAAAGTATAGCTTAACTGTATGATCAGGTAGGTGTTTGATATTCAGCGTAGACTGACACTTGGAAGGTTATTCATCAGACGTCTTATTGGATTTAAAAGCACTGGTTTTAGACGTTTTACTTTTTATTTTGCGAAAGAAGTTTAAACAAAGTGAGTGTTATAATTTATATATTTAGTTATGCATAAATGTTATTTTTATTTTGTGATATTGTGTTAGATAAGAATAATAATATTTAATCAGTTAAACATTTGTCCGTGTTATGATACTTATATTGTCTCCCTTTAAGCGTTCTACGTGTTCTAGTGAGTGTACAATGTACATGTATGTATATTTCCAAGTATCTTATGAGAGTATAACACACATGTGCGAGTGTGACTATGTGTGTTTGGATGTTAATTTGTGTTACGTTAATTAACTGAAGCCATAAACATGGAAAGTGATTGCTATTATAAGAGTATACGAGTATGCTGTTTAACAGATGTCTTTACGATGCTATTCTGGTTATTTTATCAATAACATCTTAAACAAAATTTTGCAAAGGTTTGTTCTATAATCATAATTGAATATACCACTCAATGTAAAATTAATAAGTTAAAAAAATATCTTGTATAGAACATGTCCATATGACTCCATATAATATGGATTTTTTTATTTTTTTTTCACCTGGTTTTAATATCCAGATTAAACATGTTGATTGTAGGAACAATGTTCTCTAGAACTACATTTACTTTACAAAATCATTGCAACAGGAATTTGTGTATATATTGGTATATCTGGTTTCCTCCCATAACCACTATAAGCATTCTCACCTGCGATGCATTGACAGGCACAACTCTGCAAGGTGTCTTGTAGACAAATCATGATATCTACCCGTAAGTTATAAATGTACATCTGGGGTATTGTCAGTGAGTGAACTAAAGGTCACGGCATCTAGTTGTTTTAATACAATATCACAACGCTTTCTGAGTCAAATTAAATGAAGTTGTTCTTTTAACGGTATTTTAACATAAAAAAGGCTGTGAGTAAAAAAAAAGATTTTCATGTGATATACAAATGAACCATTTTATAAAACTCTTACAGTGTAACTTATTCTTTGATTTGTATCAGAACATGTTATCACACTTTTCTAGGTTTTATTACGAGTTTAATCTCAGGATTTTTAAAATATTTTAATCTGGTGCTTTGTTTGGTTGATACCATAACCCAGGTCGTCATATTGTTGTAAATGGTAAAACTAAATAGTTAAATGATGATTCTGAATTTTGTTTTTATGAAAAATAAAGTGTACATGCCATAGCCATATTATTTTGATTGATTTGTGACTTTTGATATGATTTGTAAAGCATGTAATACTTGTTTAACAACTCTTCACACATTATATATTGATGATTAAGACGTTTATAAGGTATGCGGTAGTATAGCAATGCCTTTGTATTTTGTCAACATTCAGTCATATTTTGAAAAGACGAGTTAGAAGCACACTGTATGATGTTGATGGTATGTAAAAAGAAACAAAAAAGGTTTAGCTAAAGGACATTTAAGTATGATTTTCTCAATAACTAAAACATTGACAGGTCAGAAAGGGCCTCGCCTTGGGCTTTTCCCTCCCACAGTCTATTTGCAGTAAAAAGTAACTTTAACCTTAACTTAATTTTTGTTAAATCCCTATTGCACATCTATATATCACAATGTGTCACTGGTTATTATTTATTTTAAAAAACACCAACAACAGTCTTTGGGATTCTGAGATAAGGAATGTTGCACCATGGTATGTTTAAGACCCTTTTAAACACCTATTCAATATCTACATATCAGAATGTATCACCATATCAAATTTTAAAAAGGAGATACTTTTAGATTTCGAGATCAGGACTCTACCCCAAACGTTATTAGGAACATCAACCTTGACCTCGACATAAGACTTTTTTAAACCCCCATTACACATATGCATTTCATAACGTATCGCCATGTAAAATTTCAGAAAAGTTAGTCTCCAGATAATCTCTGGAAAGGGAGGCGGGCAGGGAGACAGAAATGGATATTAACTGAAGCACAGTTGGACGAGGACATTTTGCTCGGCCGATTGGAGCAACCTATAACAACCTGCAATTCAGGGTTCGAACCCCTGTTTAGTGCCATTGAACGTTTACAATCAGAACACTGTTTTTTTCATAAATGTTCCTCAAGGAATGGCTTCCTATCCAAAAATGATTTATCAAAGCTATATTCATTTCTGTTAGATCGGTTGCAATTGTATAGTTACAGTTTTTGGTAGTGGCACGGAGATCCTGTAACACAGGTTATGTATTGGGACAACTGGTTAGAGGTGACTGTTTATTTTGAAAATTAGTTTAGTGTAGCAACCGAATAAGTGCTGTCTTGTTTAACGAATCTCATTTGTACATTATATTCAATACAATTACTAACATAAACCCTAGGGTAATAAAAACGCCCATTACTTAATTCCGCCAAAAGCACGCGAATTCGACTTTGTTCGCATTTAGAGGGGGTAGTGTTAACTCGGTGATAGCTAGGTATTTATATGTAGCTTGGCTTTAAACATTGTTCTCTGTATGTAAGACTGTTAGTGACTGACATCCTTTACTGGAAATAACTCGAAGCATCACTGAAGGTAATCTGTGTATTGTAGGAAATACTTTGGGACACCTCCTTTTGCCCCTTATACATTTTTTCAATTTTCATAATGACTAATGTGTTTTGCTGTTTGGTTGTCTATTTGTATCAAATGTGAGTTAGGGTTTTGTTCTTGAGCATTGGCGCTGATTGATATTTTTCAATAGATTTTTTGTTGATATTGTTCCCCTCGAAAGCTTTTAATTGATGTCAATCGGGATAACTAGGTACATATTGACTTTATGACATTGTTAGAAAGCTCGCCTTCTTTATCAACAATATGTATGTGTATACCTGTAATAGACCAAACAATATAATAAGCTAGCGAGTTGATAATGCATACACTAACAAACCCTGAGTCGAAATGGTAATTGATTGTCCTATGAGCTTGACTGCTGGAAACTCTTAAATCGATCTCGAGAGAGTTTAAACCTATACAGGTAAACGTAAATACATTTCTGTATATACATTATGATCAGATGATTTTACCTTTTAATAGTCGAACCGGGGGCATGTTTTCTGTCCGAATCGACCTCGTTGTGACAAACAAACAATTAAGAACTGACCACTGGGCGGTGCTACCTGAGAAAAATGTACACAGAAAAATGCCGTATTTTTAATAGATTTTAATTTACAAAGATGAGGTATTTGTAGTTAAAAACTTGTATCTATTGTGTTACTAGTTGTATATTTCTCTTTTCAGCATATGGGCATTAGATAATTTGAATGACTTAGGAATAAGTAGTGATCTCTTTATATATCTAACGAGGTTACCCCGTTGGGTAATGCATACACGAAATACTTTTCAGTCAATGGAAAGACCCATATCGTTTTAAATAAGTGTTATCGCTTGTCCTTAATTTCTTGACAATATGAAATTTGAAATCTGATAAACTATAGGTCCCTTGAAGTAAAACATGTTTTGGAGAGTTTCTAATGTTATGCATCGAATAATCAAGATTTGCATATTTGAAATTTAATTGTAAAAACTATTTTTGTTGTTACCATAGATCGAAACGTTTACCATTGACACTTGTTTTCAATTTAAAACAAAAATGCGTTCCAGCTTTTACCAAACGTTGAAACTAAGTACTTTCAGTTTCAACCGGTGAGAACGTTTCATGTAAGGCCTGAATTATCCATGACACCGTAATATATTCGCTCTACATATACTTGTGCGACGAAAATAAACCCAGCTAAAATATGGTGAGTGTTGAACTTCTTGTATTATAATTTTTGTGCCAGTTTTAAAGCGTATTATCTAAAAAGTATTGCCTGTAAGAAATATTAAGTATATATATATTTTGTAAAAAGTATATCACATACGCAACATTTTAACAATCTGATGCTTCAACAATCAGTTGTACGGTGTCCATATATTTAATTACCTGAGCAAATCATTGAAATATATTCTGCCACTGAAATTAGGCAATGCATTATCTAGTAATCCGATGCTAGCGTAAATTATCACGGAAACTTAAACAACGTCCCATGTGTCATATTTTGTTTACAGGCAAATCTAAGCGAAACGGAAGTCAGACGTAAGTAATAGATTTTAAACATGTTTAATTAATCATTTCATGAATAATTCAAATGCATGCTACATGTACCATTTTTACCCGGAAATCGCGTCACTATCTGAAGTTGTCATTTTAGACAAGTGCTAACCTTTGTGTATGATTCTGCTCGACGTAGAAGAAAGATGTTATTGTCATAAACGATCCCTCATTTCTTCCTGTCAGCGAATATTTTAATCTCTGAGCAAATATTGGTATATGTCACGGTCGTTAAGTGGTATTCAAATAGATGTATAGGTTAGCCTTGTTATCAATTGATATTCGATCACGTACACATATTATGTTTACTCTAAAACATCGATGTTTGCTCGAGGTCTTAAGTTAATTGGCTGCAAGTACTTTTGAAATACACAGAATACAAGACACACGCATGTACGAAATACACACAATACAAAAAAAGAGAAACACATAAATCATAATATCAAATACATATGAAATACGAATTGCGTTAATGCAAAATACGATTTACTCTGAAAAAAAATAAAAAAAATATAAAAAAGAAATTACGACGACAGAAAAATGGCAATATGTCATGGTGAAAGGGTAAAAAATATTGCGTTTCTTTTTCTTCTTCTTGTTCCTGACAAATATTCTCAGAACTGTTCCCACCCCAATAAGCTTTATACATGTATAATAAAAGAAAATGTTGACGATTTTCTTAACAGCAACCGTTACTCAGTTTTTATTATTTATCTCAGGTAGCAGTGAACAGTAGCGTACGGTGGCCATCGGTAATATTTTTGTACAATGAATAACCCATGTAATATTACATGTATCAAAGTTTAAAAAAAAAATCAGCACTAAAATTGGCATATGCATGATCAAGTGGACTATGTGGGCTTCACATTAAAAAAAAATCGAATTTGGTTTGAGACTACATTTTTGGCCGTTTACAAATCTGTGTCTACACAACAAAAGCTAGCTTTTCATGTAGTCTTTTTTGTAAATATTGTGAAAAATCCAGTTGAACGACCTATGCTAAAACGTGAGTAGTTCTGTAACCGAGTAGGCAGGTTTTAAGAAAAATAATTACTACTTGTTTGGGACAAATTTTGGGTTAGAAAAAATGTTTTTTGGCATTTTTTGGTATTTTTTGAAGTGGTTATCATGGTTTTCATAAGTCCCAAATCTTGGAAAATCACTTTTTGAAAAAATAATCATTCTTCTATTTATTTTTTATTCAAAATGTAGTTTATAAATACAAATATATATATGTAGGTGTGTTGTGCAGGATAAATCCGCTACCCATGTTTATCTGAGACATGCCCTTTATTTTTAGGATCGAGACATTTCTACTGTACTCTGATACCTCAAAGCCTGCAAATAACTGCAAGTAGCGTATAGTGTTCTCCTGGTAGTATATCAAACTAACCCTAGCATTCTTGTCTTCTATTATTCGAAGACTTAGTGATTTAGGGTTATTTTCTGGTGTGTATCTTTACCATGTATTTAAAAATAAGATGTCGTTTCTATGTTTCTTACAAATACATGTATCTATGATGTAAAATGTATGATAAGCGATAATAGGTGAATTATGGTAAAATATAATGAACAAATGTTGAATGAAATATATGACGAAGGCAAAGACATTTATCTACTTCAAAGAAAAACTAAGATGTTGATCTTAAGTGTTAAATTTGCGACTAGACAAAGAGACGAAAAATTGATAAAATTAAACAAATGTTTTGTTTCTAATACAGAGGCCTTTGAATATTTCGACAAGGACCAAAGTGATTCTATAACTCATGCCGAGTTAGGGGACGCTCTGAGGCTGGCGGGGATGAATCCGACTGATGACGATATCCAAGACCTGCTTAAGGAGGCAGACAAGGATGGTATGACTATTTTATGCAGTGTTTTAGCCCTCATTACAACCCTTATTATTACCAGATGCTCACAGTAATATGAACTATGTCTATCTTTGAGTTCCCTCCCTTTGGTCTGCATCTGCGGAAAGAGAATTTTACCTCTGAGCTGGACTGATAACATACGAATATATTACTTTACTTCTGAGCTAGCCTTATAGAAGACGACTGGTTTTCCTTTTTTCCAGGATTGCGTAGCAGTCAACTGAGTTGATTACCTACTTTTAAACTGACTTCATGTAAAGGGTACCACTATATTAGTTTTAATAACAACGCAGGGGCTCCATCCTGAGTTGTTTTTCGACTTGTAGTATTCTGCCTTTCTTTACAGAAGATGGAGCCACCAAAAAATAACTTGCTCCTGCCTTAGAGTGTCCCCCGTACCCTGTAACATTTTACTTGAGCATTGAAACCGTTTCTGATGATTCGTAGATATCAACATTAATAAACTATTTACTTTTTTAATATAAAGTTTCTTTTTCCAAACATTCAAATTTTTAACAAATGTATTTCTGTTAACTGCATGGCAACATGTGGCCTTGCTATGTTTATAAAACAATTCTTTTGAAAAGGACATACATAAATATTTGACATTGGTAAGATCATAGTTAAATTTAGTTGTTCCCTTTACTTTAACAAAATGATATTGGGAAATTGTTTGTTCCCACAACACTGTGTGAAAAGAACAATGCATCAACCGATAGTGGCCTGATTAACATTAGTTGGTAAAATCATCGTCATAAACGTCACAATAGTTAAAACGCGATAAAAGAACGATCACAGTATCTTGTTTTTGTACGTATATTCATACTTGGGTTCTGACTCGTATTGTATTTCAGGCAGCGGTAAAATCGAATTTTCTGAATTCGCCAAACTTATGAAAGGGCTAGAAAACATTGACTGTAAAGAAGAGCTCCGGAAAGCATTTAATCATTTCGATATCAACGGAGACGGCTGTATATCTGCTGAAGAACTACAAAAACGATTGGATTATAGCATAGATGATGCGGAAGAAATCATAAAGGCGGCTGATTTAGATGATGATGGCTTTATCAATTTGGAAGGTATGTTTTTCTTTTGGAAAGAAAATAATAAGGTATGCATGGAAATGTGATACCAAGTTAAGAATGGAGTTAGGTCTGCGCGAAAACGGTTCTACCATTGGAGGGTGAACATTTCCCGAAAGTTTAAAGATTAAGAGTACATTTTCTTTAATTCTGATTAAATCATACAAATTGATCTTTTCTTATTCAATTTTCAAACTGCTAGATATGTATTCTTCTCTGAACCCAAAATTAAGTTCAAGTGTATAATAGAATATGACTTTGAGCTTTTGAAGGTTTTAAACAGTTGAACACGATAAATACTTGATTTTAATCAACACCGTTATATTTTATTTGCAGAGTTCATCACCATGTTGTCTGTGTAGGCACACGTGTTCGACTAACATGAACATGATTGTGGATCGCAGGCCTGAATATTGTGCAAAACGTTACCATATCACTAATATTTGCAAAACAACATTAGTGGCTATCGGATTACCTTCCTTTAACGCATAGCAAAACTATAATTAACTTCTTAGACTAAATATTGGAATGTAATAGACAACAGAACTGAATGTACATCCGCATAGTAATGTTAGCAGACTGATCAGGATGTGTTGGCATGGTTTGCTTTACGGCATCAACTAACCATCCGGTTATATGGAGTTGTGTGTATGTACTACGAAGTTCATGTTTTTGGATTTTTTTGGTTTTGTTTTCTTCCATTACCAAACATAGGTCATAAAATAGTCAGAGTAAAGAGATACACTATCAAAACAAATACCAATAGAAAACCAAAATGTGAACAAAACCGTATTTCGATCTCAATATCGATACGAAAAGGGAAAACTATTAACAATGGCCAGACAGTACTTGAAAGAGTACAATGGGATTAGTACCGTCTTTTGTTTCCTCGATGACACCTCCCAGGTAAATCTAGGTTAAATCAAAAAATAGGAAATGTCACGTCTTCAAATTTAGAATCGGGATAGCGCCAACGAAGCAAACATGAAATAATGAGCATAATCGAACCTTCGACCTTCAGATTGCACAAGAAAAAGACAGAAATAGAAAACTGAAAGATGATAAGTAATTAAAGCAACGAGAACTGTTCTTCAATTTCGGTCTTTTAAATATACCGTAAACAATATGACATAGCCCTGCAGGCGGATCAACATAACCATCTTATAATCTGATATATTAATAAAGGGCACACAACTTAGCGACATTCCAGTTATGATTATAACTTAAAACAAATAGATACCAAAAATTCCTCTTCGACAGCTTAATATCATGGCATTTATCTGCAGTTTTGCTAAATAATAAAGAAATTAAGTTGATAGGTTCCATATTACTGCCTCCCTTGCTTCTAACGATGATTAACTATTCCAGGGTCGGTTCTAAATGTCTTGTTTGTAATAAACATGTTGTCGGGGTTTACTACTGGAGAAGCATTAGTCTACACTACGACATTTTACGGTCATCATTGATCTGATGTCCTCGTGTCTTTGTGTCAACAATGAATAAATACATGAAAACGGGGCTTAGGTAATTTGTGACGTACATATGGCCTGGAGGATTTCCACCGGAAATGTATATTAAATGAACACGCAACTTCAATCTCGTAACATATATAAGGATTATATTTATAGAGTATGTATTGTTTAAAAAGTGTATATATATTTATCAACCTGTGTATTTATATGGAAATCTATATATTTTACTTTCGTTATATAGTAATAAATGGTAGAAAATATGCAACAATTTGACACGTTGCAGTTAAACACACTTAGGGACATTTCTATCTTACACCCCGTTTCACGTGCGAGACATCACGAAATCGGAACATTCCGATGCTGCTATGCAAAAATATAGACACCTTTTTGGCGGTGTTTAGTCTAATTCTAATTTCATTTCAAAGTGCACAGCAAAAGGAAATCCTCCCTCGGACTTTTCAAATGGTTGCAGAACCTTCGAGTTTTATTAAAGTTTAAAACCTCTGGTTTCTTACACTCCTTGGCATGACAGAATCTTTTAATTTTCCTGCACATTTGTATTTTATATTTAAATAAAATACAAGATATACACCAATGGCACTTAGTCGTGATTGTATGTTGTAATGCTATTAAAATGGTACTTTTATTGTTTATGAAAAACGAAAAAAGTAAAAATATGTAAATAAAATGATATCTTGTTAAATAAATTGTTGAATTGTTCTTATTCATAAGTTTTTAATAAAGACATTTTTAATTAGTTGACCGTCCTATATGTTATTTAATGTATATATCTCGATTAATGAGATGTGCGATATTTGTTTTTGAAGTAAATTATGGGGTATTTATCTTTCTTTTCTATAATGGTGCGTGACCGCCTCGGGATAAACATTTTCCACATTTTGTCATAACAGCCACTTGACAGGTATACACACTGTACACACACGTTAGGATAAACCTACCTGTGGTGACTGTGCTCTAAAACCGTGTATGCGTGTATATGTCACTTGCGCCATTTCTGTTTACAACACAACTACGCTCCAATTGCCCCTCTTAAAACTCACCGGATGTAAAGTTCATCTCAGTGTGTATCAGTGTGGGCGTAGTTAGGAAGAGCAACCCGGTGAAACTATACATCATTGATCGAGGAAACATGGTGAGTTGTTTTGAATCTATGCATCGTTATTGCGCGATTATTCTACTCATTCTCCGTAGGATATTATCGTATGTTTACTAAGCCTATATTTACGAGAGAGTTGATACATTTGAACTTATTCCCATTCGTGCTATAGACTCCTAACGAGATTCGTGGGAACACTTGAGTGGTAAGTATACAGCATTTAAACCTATCTTTGTACAAGTGTACGTATGTGTGTACCGGTAAAAGGGAAACGCCTCGGGCCTATGTAGTACACTATATATCATAGTGACAATGTATGTCTTGTTTTCTCCTACACGCATTCATAACCCTACTTTTTATTACAGGTGGACAAACTATCAGAAGAACAAATATCAGGTAAAGAAAGACATCATTGATATAAGTGTATACCTATGTGTAATATCTGAAGCACTGAAACATATTTGATAGTGCGGATACATTAATTGATGCTAGTGACGCAGATATGTATGTGCCCGATATGTCAACATGATATCAGTGACACGAATACTCAGGTGTGATTTTTAAAGCAACAAAACATAGGGAGAAGTGCGGAGGAGTTGAATAGCATCACATGTTATGTTACGTCTGTAGAACTACATGTAAGATATGATATTTTGGATGAAATATTAAAACACAGCTGAAAGTGCTGAAAATCTAGTTGACATCTCAGTGACACACACGTGTGTACTGTCTGAAGAGCTAAGACATATATGTGACAAGGTAGACATATTAATCTTTATGTACACGTTTGTAATGTCTGAACCACTATGTATGTGACAAACTAATCGATATCAGTAAAACATAGGTTTAGTATCGAAAATATCAATTAAGACATATGTCACAATACAGACGGTTTAATTGATAGTAGTAATACACACTTGTATGTAAGGTGTGACCATTAATATATAAGACATAGCTGTCTATACAGACAAATTAATTGAGTGCCGTGAAACATGCATATGTGTGATGTCGGAAGCATTAAAACATAGCTCACAATGAAGAACAATTGATTGATATCATTGACACATACATCTAGGTAATGTCTGAACATCATTCAGCCTTGGGTGACTGTGGGGACTGATTGATTGATATAGGTGACACATACATATTTGTGATATCATGACTGAAGCACTAAGACACAGCTGACAGTGCTGGACTGGTGTGCAATACGTTTCCTTAACCTCTTAATTTAGTTGATGAATATAGATGTTAAGTATAAGATCTATACAATATCATTATTATTGAGTGAAATACGTTTTAAGTATCGCTTACACCTGTCCCCTGTGAACACGTACATACCAGTATTGAAACAAGAATAAAAACAGCTGACACAGGTATACATGTATATCTTATCAAACCGCCGCGTCATTATGGTGCATCGTCATTTTAGAAATAAAAATGAGTTTCATTTGAACATCAATATTGTATAATATTATCAACGGAGTACCCGGAGAAAACCCACATGGTCGGGCAGGTGACCCCAACCTTTTTTTCACGTCCGATCGGGGATTCGAACCCCGGCCGCTTTGGTGAAAGGCAAGTGCGCTATCCACTGCATCATCCGACCACCATAACACTTGTCCATAGTCTACTTCAATCTGGTTTTCTTAAATCCTTGTGCTCTGAGTTTGTCGCAATCTGTTGCAGAACTTATGATTATATTGAAATTCCAAGCATGCATATATGTTTATATTTTAGAAACCCCAGTATTGATAGGTTACAATAAAATGACAATTAGACCAGAAATATTAAATACAGTACTGATTAATTACAGTTTAATCAATCAAGTACATGTTTGTTTTTTCTGAAAACATTTGAATACTGCATTCAATCATGCTCGATCGACCAACTTAAGAAAGATAAACCCAAGACACGTGCATGGGAATGCACCTTTAATATTTCGTGGTACTGTATAGCATGCAAAAATGTGTTAGACTTTTGGTATAAGCTAAACCGGTATAAAGGGACCACCTCCAATAGGAGACATGTTTATAAACATACCATTTACGGTCTGTGGATACACGTTTGACCATAGTTTACGTAGCTACTATACTTCCAACAGATAGCATCGAAAAATAAAACAAATTCGTGGCTGTGCATTTATGACATAGACAGTGTAATAGTATTAATCAGTGCATCATTTTTTTTTATTTTTTTTTTCGTCAATAACACGTCAGAGAGATAAACAAATGCCATTCATACAAGACAGTTTAACAGCAGATATTGCACATTAAAGTATATATTGTGTAAGATATTATGCAAACACCGAGATTGAAAAATACTCGAACCACATCAATGTATGCCTGCTTATGTAACCCCAGTTCTTATTTATCTTTCAAATGAGTTACAGCTCTTGTGTACCTGTCAAATACGGCATCAATCGGCTGTCCTTCAAATGTGTTTGATATTGATTTTCGTTTGAAATGGACATAAAACCACAAAATGTCGATGTCACTAGCACATGTTTTTCGACGTTAAGGAAGAATATCTTCTCAAGCCGTACACTATTGCGCTTCTTAATCATTTAGCTTTTTCCAGTGGTATAATTAAACTATCGACCTGGCGTTGTAATTAAATTTCCTAGTGACTTCATTACATTGTGTATACCTATCTATATATAGCTACGCTATAGTATTTTATTTTGCTGTGCTGGCTTGGAGACAATAGCCATGCAAGATGCAAGTTTCCGGCGAAATGTGTTTGTGTCGTAGGGGGAGAGGGGGAGGGGTTGGGGCAAGATACTCCCAACAGATTGCTTCTGTTATTGGGGGTGGGATAGTCAAAGGGGAAATCATATATAAGATGAAACATCCTTTGCAATATACTCCCAATATATTGCTACTGTTATATATGGAAACTTTAAAAGGGATATTTGAGTAAATTGTTGATTGAGAAAAGTAAGAGTTTAACAAATGTATGGTATGTGTACAAATATATCAATATGAAAAATTAATTAATGTATATATTGTCAATGTCATCACACCTAACTGTGTGTAAAATGTTCAATCAATAATTTCCAGATGTTCCTTAAACAAATTATCGGTCGCTTATCGAAAAAATGGGATTTCTTCAAACAATAATTTTCTTGTTCCTTTATTTAAAACCAAACAACAAAAAACCAAACAAAAACCAATTTGTTGTACATGTATTATGCACTAACTTAAAGCATGGTTTTATCAACCTGAACGTAAAATCTAGATATTGACCTTAACAAAAGATCATTTTGTATTCTATCTTGTCATAAGAATAATTTTGAAAATTTACAATTAATAAATGCAATGGTCTTATTAAAAAGTATGAACGAAAAAAGAAACGTAAAGGATTCGTTTAGTTTCTTATTTAAAGCTCAAATTTAGTGCAACAGATTTTATTTTGAGATCTATAACTATATTATCTCCCTTCTGTGACTGCAGAGTACAGGGAGGCGTTCGGCCTGATAGACAAGGATGGAGACGGAACAATTTCCTCTAAAGAACTGGGGACGGTGGTGAGAGCTCTGGGACAGACCCCTACCGAGACAGAACTCACTGACATGATCAAACTCATCGACGCGGATGGTAATGGTTCATTGTACATTGTTTTTATCACTATCCGCTTTATTTAGCGATTATCAACGTGTGTTTCATTGCTGCTGCATAATATTTTCTACATTTAAAAAAAAAAAAATCTGTTCTCTTCTCTTTCGAAATATAAGTGGAATGCAATATGATCATATTTGGACAGAAGGCTGTACATTTATATTCACCATTGTATATTACTGATGTGGAAACATAAATATTACAATAAGATTTGAATCAGACAGGCAAGTAAAAATGAAAAAGTTTTATCGATTTTGTGTTGGGATTAATCCCTTTTGTGTACTTGTTGTGGTAAATTTTGTTTCCCGTGTTGATGCTATGGTATATTTTAGCAAGTGTGTCGACGCTGTAGTATGACCCTATTGTCCTTGCTTGTTGACGCTGTGGTATACTTGTGCAATAGTGTTAACGCTGTGGTATATTATGTCCTTGTGTGTTGACGATATGGTATAATTTGTCTTGCTTGTTGACGCTGTGGTATATTTAGTCCTTGCTTGTTGACGCTGTGGTATATTTTCTCCCTTCGTGCTGAGGCTGTGCGATCTTTGTCCTTGTTTGTGCTATGGTGTATTGTATGTCACATTGCAATATAAATAAACAAATAAGTACGATACTATCACAGGATCATGTCTGAAGTATGTTCGCAATGATAATTATGATATATTGATAACTCATCCCTTCTTCTATCTTTATAATACCGGTCATTAATTTTCATTTAAAGGCAACGGGACGATAGATTTCCCAGAGTTTCTCACTATGATGGTAAATAGAAACCAGAATTCGGCTACCTATGAGGATGAGATGCGTCAGGCATTCGCAGTGTTCGACAAAGATGGTGACGGTTTCATCACGGCGAAAGAACTTAGGCAGGTAATGACAAGTCTCGGAGAATCTCTGACAGACGACGAGGTGAATGCTATGATCGGTGAGGCGGACAGGAATGGAGACGGCCAGATAGACTATAAAGGTAAAGTTAATTAAAGTGTAACGCACAAACGTACTTATAGAAATGTGTAAACTACAAAAATGTTACATAAATATATCGACCACAATGAAACATTCAAATCAATGTATAAAAACAAAAGTAAAGCTATACTTTTGTATATATTGTATAAAGGTAAAGTTATGTAATTATATTTACAGCAACAAAATCATAATATCCATGCATAGGTCACAATGAATCATTCATAGTAATATATAACAAACAAATGTGAAGTTTTACCATTGTATAGATTACAAAGGTAAACACATATGAATGTTTATACTATGAAGTTATATTTAAGGATTAACTTGAATATATTTTTCATGTTATGGAGGTATAACACAAAAAACGGAGTGTACTCGAAATAAACCGCGAAGCGGTTTATGATGAGAGTACACTCCATGTTTTTGTGTTATAGCACCTTAACATGAAAAAGATATTCAAGTTAATCCTTATAATTTAATTTACTATACACAATCCCTGAGGAAATCCACTTTTATTGATGGACTCTTTTCTCTTAGAAATTATTGCGCCGCTGTATCAACCAATCAAAAGCGACGTTACAAATGGCGACGTCATTTTATACGTTATGGGATGATAACATAGATTTTTAAGCCAATTGAAATGCTTGTTACAAGCAAGATTAAATTATTAATGCATACAATACAAATGTGACATTTATCAATGCACAACTGTATAAACTGCATCTACAATGAGGAAGTTGTAAGTCATAATGTAACGGTAAAGTTATATCAATGATAAAATTATGTCAGCTATCAATCACTGTATGATATTTACGTATACTATTAATATTCAATGTAATATGCACAATCGTTTCAGTAAACTTTGAAATATGTGCACACGAAATGTATTCAACAGGTTGGTTTTAGGGACATTTAAATTTGTATTTTTAAAAACTAAAAAAGTGGTTACGATGTAAGATGAAACGATATTCGTTTCGTCAAACACATCTGTATATAATACAAATACCTTGCAATATATAAATATATGTTCATTTTTTGATGCGAGAACCAGTTCCAATACTGTCTCTTCAAAGAATTTGCAGAGTTAAATTATCCGGTCAGCACTATAACTGCTATTGACATAGTGTGTCATTCAATTTGTACATTATAAGTGACATTCTCGCGTGTATGTATTCATTATACGCATAATCAGCGAAAAGTTCACTGCGAGTAAATATCCATTTTTACAGTACATGATATTCAGAGAATTTGAAATTAAGCGAACACTTATATAAATGTCTGTCATTTTCTTTTGTTTATATTTCAGAATTTGTGAAGATGATCTTGAAGACGACGCACTAACCAACGATTTATATCAATGAAGACACGGAGGCGATATCCCTTGCCATGTATACACATTTTCTTGCACAATACCTCAGATGTATTATTTAAAATGTTTAAAACATATCTGTTACACGACGGCCATTTTGAATCCTTTATATGCATTTCGTGTCTACTTTAGAAAATGTTCACATTGATTTTGGTAAAAGCTTAAAAGAAGGAAATTCAAATCTTATCTTGCCAAACCAACCAGACCTAGTCTGGATGTTCCATTTCCATCCTGTGATCTGTTGTTAGGAGAACCAGCACACTCAGATGCGTGTTCTTCTCGTTATGGGTCCAAGTTTCAGTGACCGAACAACATGACTAGTACACAGCATTCAAAAACCAAATGAAACTCCCCTCTATACTTAAGGCGTTAGGTAACAAGTTAGGCGCTCTACTGGAGGCGTTAGGTAACAAGTTAGACGCTCTACTGGAGGCGTTAGGTAACAAGTTAGACGCTATACTGGAGGCGTTAGGTAACAAGTTAGACGCTATACTTGAGGCGTTAGGTAACAGGTTAGACGTGTATATCACAATATAAATAAATATATAAGTGCATATAGACATAATGAAATTTCAATACCTTTTTTGCAACCACCTTGTCTTGCCACAACTGGCTGGGGAACAACGATGGCTGGGTGTACGAGATTCGACTATTTAATGTCACAAGGATGGAAGCTGTTACAATCAGCAGGCAGTTATTCACAAGAGGACAGCGATTCTGTTAGACTTTTTTTATTTGTGTAGCTGGAGAGTCGATATAAAAAACAATCAAATATTTAAAAAAAACAATCATGAATAACTGTCTTCCTGTTAGAAGAGTCGTTTTATAGCGCATGCTTGTGGATATGAATTTGTTTGATTAAATGACAGATTTACATTACGTTAGGTGTCTGACTATTACCCAGTAGTGCCATAGCTTAACACATATCTCCATAAATTGTGGATACAAACACAAAATGATCAAACTCTATTCGTAAAAATTCATTACTTACTGATGGGCCTATGATGATAGTGTGTTATTGTTTGATTGGCCGATGCGAATATGCGTAATTAATAGCCTAACGTCCATTTAAACAAATGTTATTTACTGAAAGGTCTACTTAGGCTGATCTTTGCAAACGTGAGTTATTGTCTGGGAGACATATGCAAATATGCCTTTTTTGATAGGTCCTTGCAAATATGCATTAAACAGATAAATGTAGGCCAATGTACATAACCCTAGTACATGTATTATATTATATGCCAGCTGTCGATAAATAGACGAAATATATGTAATTCCATTCTCAAGATGTACACTGTTTCGAAATAAATACCATTCCACATCAGATTTGTATCCGTCAGTTAATTAGATACGTGAATATTAAAATAGGAACAAATTTCTATGTATGCATGACTAGTATGTGTTGACGCTATGATGTAATTTGTCCTTGTATGTTGGTTCTGTTGTAGATTTGTTCTTGTGTTTTACCACTGTGGTATATATTGTCACCAAGTGTTGGTGTTGTGGTATATTTTGTACGATTGTTGACGCTGTGGTGTATTATATCCATGTGTTTTCAGGCTGTGGTATATTTTGTATTGATATGTTGACCCTGTGATGTATTATGTCCTTGTGTGTTGACGCTGTGGTATATTTTGTACTGATATGTTGACCCTGTGGTGTATTATATCCTTGTGTTTTCACGCTGTGGTATATTTTGTACTGATATGTTGATCATGTGATGTAGTTTGTCCTTGTGTGTTGACGCTGTTGTAGATTTGTTCTTGTGGTATATATGGTCACCAAGTGTTGGTGTTGTGGTATATTGTGTACGATTGTTGACCCTGTGGTGTATTATATCCTTGTGTTTTCACGCTGTGGTATATTTTGTACTGATATGTTGATCATGTGATGTAGTTTGTCCTTGTGTGTTGACGCTGTTGTAGATTTGTTGTGTTAACTATGTGGTACATTTTGTCCCTCTGTAATGACGCTGTAGTAAATATTATACCTGTGTGTTGACGCTGTAGTAAATATTGCTCCTGTGTGTTGACATTGTGGTAAATTTTCACCTTGTTGTGTTAACTCTGTTGTACATTTTTTTCCTCTGTAATGACGCTGTAGTAAATACTGCTCCTGTGTGTTGACATTGTGGTAAATATTTTCCCTGTGTGTTGACGCTGTAGTAAATATTTTCCCTGTGGGTTGACATTATTGTAAGTTTTCGCCTTGTTGTGTTAACTCTGTGGTACATTTTGTCCCTCTATGTTGAAGTTGTGGTAAGTTTTGTCCCCGTATGTGACGCTGTAGTAAATATTGCCCATGTGTGTTGACGCTGTGAAGTATTTTGCCCCTATGTTATGACGCTGTCGATTATTTTGTCACTCTGTTTTAACGCTGTGAGTAATGGTGTCCTCTTGTGTTGACGTTGTAGTAAATGTTGTCCGTGTTTGTTGACGCTGTGGTATATCTGTCCGTGTTTGTTGACTCTGTGGTTTATCTGTCCCTGTTTGTTGACGCTGTGGTACATTATTGTATATCTATCCGTGTTTGTTGACGCTGTGGTATATCTGTCCGTGTTTGTTGACGCTGTGGTATATCTGTCCGTGTTTGTTGACGCTGTGGTATATCTGTCCGTGTTTGTTGACGCGTAGGTATATCTGTCCGTGTTTGTTGACGCTGTGGTATATCTGTCCGTGTTTGTTGACTCTGTGGCATATCTGTCCCTGTTTGTTGACGCTGTGGAATATCTGTCCGTGTTTGTTGACTCTGTGGTTTATCTGTCCCTGTTTGTTGACGCTGTGGAATATCTGTCCGTGTTTGTTGACTCTGTGGTTTATCTGTCCCTGTTTGTTGACGCTGTGGTACATTATTGTATATCTATTCCTGTTTGGTGACGCTGTGGTATATCTGTCCGAGTTTGTTGACGCTGTGGTATATCTGACCGGGTTTGTTGACGCTGTGGTATATTTGTCCCTGCTTGTTGACGCTGTGGTATATCTGCCCGTGTTTGTTGACGCTGTGGTATATTTGTCCCTGCTTGTTGACGCTGTGGTATATCTGTCCGCGTTTGTTGACGCTGTGTTATATCTGGCCGTGTTTGTTGACGCTGTGGTATAGCTGTCCGTGTTTGTTGACGCTGTGGAATATCTGTCCGTGTTTGTTGACTCTGTGGTTTATCTGTCCCTGTTTGTTGACGCTGTGGTACATTATTGTATATCTATTCCTGTTTGGTGACGCTGTGGTATATCTGTCCGTGTTTGTTGACGCTGTAGTATATTTGTCCCTGTTTGTTGACGCCGTGGTATATTTGTCCCTGTTTGTTGACGCTGTGGTATATCTGTCCGTGTTTGTTGACGCTGTGGTATATCTGTCC